TAATCTTTTCTTTAGTCTGCTTTTCTTACAAAGATCATACTTCTTTTATTTTACTTTTTAACCATACTTATCTGAGGAATAAAAAATTGACCATTTAACACGCTTCTATTTATGATTGCAGGACTTCGCTGATATGAACGTCTAATGAACATTCGAGACGTTTAAACTTTGTCTAGACGACTAGTGAGCTGTTCAAACATATCAGCTCCGTTCGAAAGAACTTTTTAACAGTTTCTATGATAGGAGTTGATATGGAACTGTCATACCCCTAATCAGAAAACATGGTGAAGAGCTGAGAGACATCTCATTTTGTAGAGAAATCTTTACTCTACAAGACTGACTGTTTCAAAAGTTTATCAACTACTGAATGGAAGAGAAAAAAGCGTAAAGTAACAAACTTTACAAAACTCATATCTCCTCAACGGAAGGCCTTGGAAAGTTGAAAGTGGTCTTATTTTGTAGAGGACACTTTATTCTGTAATGCACAACATTTAACTCAAAAATAAAAAAATTTCTAAAGGAGTCTAAAAAGAGATGGGTTACCTTTAATTTTCTCTCGCGGTACACGGCAGAATTTGATAATATATATGTCGTATCGAAGTTATAACTTCGATAGAACTTTTATAGAAGTTACAACTTCGATAGCCCATCTCATCGAAGTTATAACTTCTATAAACATACTTCGTGGAAGTTATGACTTCGATGACGTGCTCTATCGAAGTCATCCTGATTATGCTCAACGGTAAAAAGTTGATTATTGAATGATATCATCAAAAGTTATATTTCAGCTAAAAGCAGATATATTTACCCATTAAAAACCAGAAATGTACAAATTATGAAGAAAAGTGAATAGATACATACGAGAAATGAGCGCAGTTCGAAATACCGAATTATTTATTGCCGCATGTTGCTGAATGATGGCATCGTGAGTTACATAGCACATTTCCCTGTTTACATTTGCATCTCTTTATTTTATATTACAGTCACATTTTAACGTTCCTTGTCCATGGTAACACTCTGAAGTCTGGCTATTTTTGTCAATGATTTAGGTTCGTCTTTTGTAATATCTTGCGTAAATAATGTTGGTAAGCCTGGTGCTTTAGAAACTTGATGAGAACTATAATAACCTAATAAAACATCATTTTCTGTACCTAATTTATATTTGTCATGTTTAATTTCCATTATAACAGCTAATATATTGCGTGCATCTGTTAGACCACGATCAACATCTGGTAACGATACCAACTAAATGAACAAATCTCAATGTTAAAATGGCTGAGGAAAGTTTAGCATGAAAATACTTACAACGTTATCACCAACATTCAAATTTGCTAACTTTTGCTTTTTAAATGTATTTTGTAAAAATTGATCAGCTTGACGTTTCTGACCTTCTCTCGCATCCTGACGAATTTCATTCGTTCGTTGAATTCGATCATTAAGTGGACTCATATCCAAATCTTGACCATCTTGTTCACCACTACTTTCTTCATCATCATTCTTTGAGCCTTTTCCTTCTGTTTCATGACTACTTTCGCCTTCATCAATTGTATCTTGATCGGCAACTGCTGGTATGCCTAATTCCTTCTCTAGTTCTTCTTCTGTTGTTATATTATCGAATATAGATGGATGTAAGGATGTTGAAGTTAAACCAATTTTTGATTCATGACCGAATAAAACTGAATATGAACTGTGTTTTAGCACACGATGATAACACGAATTTTTCCGAAACTGTACAAATCGTAGACCTTGTGACCATTCTTTACAGCTAATCCACGTCCCTAAGTTTAAGAAAAAAGCCATAAATAACGGTATTCCTCCCTTTTAGTTAACATACCTATCAATTGTTTTGTCTTGATTACAACGTTCTACTGATCCTTGTGATTGTGGATGACGAGCTCTTCCATGTACGATTTTAAGACCTTTCTACATTCCAGCTAGTTCTTCAATAACTTTTGCCACAAACTCGCGACCATTATCTGATTGTAAAATAACCGGAGCCCCGAACATTGTAAATATATCTAATAAATGATAAGCGACTCCTGCTGCTGTTTTTATTTTCATTGGTCTTAAAACACAAAATTTTGTAAAATGATCTTGATAATTTAATATAAATTTAAAGGGATAATCTGGACATGACTGCATATCGATTAAATCGACTTTATCACGCGCATTAAAATCATGTGAGATAACTGGTTGCACGACTAATTTCGACGAATTTTTGGGTTTTGAGCGTTTTATTTTACATTCATGACAACCAGAGATAAACTTGTCTTTCTGTAACATTTGCATATTCTTTCTTGATTTCTTTTAATGTATTATTAATACCATGATGACCAATTGTAACATGAGCTGTTTGCACTACATCAAATAGTTTGTCCAATGAAACATAATATTTAATTATACCATCTTCTGATGACTTAATTTTTTTTACTAATTTCTGCTGACCGCCAACATTAATTACGTCGTATGTTTTCAAGACTGCTATTTCTTGCTCATTTCTATCACTATAGCGTTTTAATTTTGCACCATTTATTAATTCAATTGTTTCATCATAACGTTCTGATGTGAATAATGGATTATTTGCTGAATCATTTTTGGATGTCAAAATTTCATCATTAAATTTATTTTTCCATTTTGCAATATCAATAACCGTTGTTGTTGCTGTTGAAGAACATGTGACCGGAGCCGGTGTTGTGGTTGTTATTGATGAAGATATTTCGGTTTTCTTCTTAACAGGTTTACATTTTTTCATAATCAACGGAGATGATATAGGCGAAGTCATCATTGTGTTCAAGGTTGTAGCGTTGATTGTGAGTGAGAAAGATTTATATATTTAAGATTTATGAATAAGTACGAGTACACTTTTTATGCGTATTTCTCTATTTATACTACTATTGAAAATGATCCGCTTATTATAATTCCATTATCAGACAGTTTCACTTTCAAAAATTGTCTCAATTTTATAATTAGTTTATAGACTTGATCTGTACATGATAGATACACAGCTTAGAAACATTAATAAGGAAAAAACATAAAAGAATATATCTATTTAGAGAAAAATTGAGTTCTCCGTACTCGACAGATTATGATTCCATCGGACTTTGGGAGAAAACCCTCTCTTTTCCGAGTTTCTGTAGAATGGCTGAACGAAAATTCTGAAACTTTCAGCCCAAATTGATCTAGACCACTAGAGCAAA